AAAATATGAATAATACATAAGCATGGCCGATCTACATATCTAATGCGTATGTCCGTGCGTATGACCGCTGTCCGTCTATATCTATATATCTAACAGACATTGTGTAGCCTAAATAATAAGAGGACCAGTATTCAAAATGGTTGTTATTTACTCTGACTCCTATCGTGAACTGCATATACATAATAAACTATGGAAACTACGATTACAGGAACTAAAAAAGGTGAAATATTTTGCAATACGATAAAGGATTGAAAATGAGTAGGAAAGTATTAAAAATTTGGGGTCGCCTTGTCACATATTTTGAGGCCACCCCAAATTCAGGCAAAAATAGTTGAAGATGCCCAGGGTCGTAGCGAGGGGGTATTGGAGGTGGGGGGGTGGTTAACCCCCCAACTTTTGTAGAATTAACATATTCGAAAAATCGGGTTGGCCATTCGGAAAATTACGGCAATAGTAGTATAACAAAATTTTAGTTGTTTAAAACAGAGAAAATATTATTAAATGGTATTGTCAGTATAAACCATTGGTATAAACTGATTTACGAAATCACGGCATTTAAATGGATAACGTAAAACAAATCGTAAATCGGTAAATGTTTTTCGGTTTATTACTTCTCAGGGCCGTAGCAGTCGGGAGGAGGGGGGGACTGTGGGCAGCAGCCCTTACAATAATTTGCTGATAATCATTCTTTTTTCAAAATCATGCACACCTTTATCATTTAAATAATATACCTTTAAAATACTGACAATAGACTAGAGGTGTGCATCGGATCGGATGTTTATAATCCGACAATTGCCTAATGTTTAAAATCCGATCCGAAATTGTCTAATCCCAATCCGTTCCGATCCGAGTTTTGAAAAAGAATTCCAATCCGATCCGATCCGAAGAATTCTTAAATAAAATAAATTTCTCATTCAAGTTCAAATATTTAACCAAATAAATATAAAAGCAAGAAATACATGTCAAGAAGCTTACAAAGTGACGATCAATTGAACTTGATCAAACGAATAATGCAGCGACAACCGCGATGATACTTTGATAAATGCATGGATAATTAATTCTTGCGATAATGCTGGATAATTAATTCATTTTATTTCGGATATCGAAATCCGATCCGACTACGAAACAACTGTTGTAAATAGCACTCAACAGTTTAGAAACGTTTTAACGTTTTAATTGATAACACTATATTGGGTTAGCTGTGTTCTTATTAATAACCGCGTTGTTTATCGCGGGCTCAGGTTTTGTACGTTCGTGTTACGTTTCACGTTTGTGTGCTCGAGGTGTAAATATAAAGTTTATATTGTTTTCCGAAGATTTATATTAAAACTATAAACTAAATTGAACAACAAGTTTATATCAATCCGATCCGAAATGAATATTTTGGTTCCGAAGTCCGAACGAATCCGATCGGATCGGTTTCGGATCGGATTTGCACACCTCTACAATAGACCTTTCCCTTTCTGAGTGAAATTTTGATCTAGACAAGTCTTGACAAAAATTTCATCACATGCAGCTTGAAAGAGCATCACAAAATTAGTAATATTCCGAAGTTTCGTTGTGAAATGTTGTAAAATGCGGATAATATAGCCTCGCGAAGTTTGCCGTTTTTCATCCATTTATTTTGCATTACAAACGGGAAATTGATAATCAGATAGTAATATTCCGAAGTTTCGTTGTGAAATGTTGTAAAATGCGGATAATATAGCCTCGCGAAGTTTGCCGTTTTTCAGCCATTTATTTTGCATTACAAACGGGAAATTGATAATCAGATGATCAAACTGATTACCAATTTCCATTTGTAATACAAAATGACTGAAAAACGGCAAACTTCGCAAGGCTATATTATCCGCATTTTACAACATTTCGCAACGAAACTTCGGAATGTTACTAATTGTGTGATACTCTTTCAAGCTGTGATGAAATTTTTCTCCAGGCTTGTCTAGATCAAAATTTTACTCATAAGGGGAAAGTTAATTTTAAGCGGCTACATTATCCATGACAAACCGCAAAGAATCGTATTACCCATATTCTTTCCTGCAATATATAGTTATAATAGTTTTGTTTGTGGAAACATCACGTAAATTTACTACTGCAATGCTTTCGATCCGTAAGCCCGGATCTTCATCAGTGCCAATAATATGTGACTTGTTTAATTCCAGTGGCGGCGCCAGGCTTCCAAATTTGGGGGGGCATTTGAGGGGAAAACTCAAATTTGGGGGGGGGGCAAGATAGAATTTTTAAAAAGATCGCCCCCCAGGAAATTCGCCCCCCCCCCTCAAAACGTGGCGATATTCCTAGGAATATCGCCCCCGGGGGCGAATATCCTAGGAATATTGCCTCCCAGGGGGGTGGGGCGAATACCCTAGGAATATCGCCCCTCTTTAGGACATTCGCCCCCCATATATGCGATGTGGTTTATTCAAATAATTTCGTGATACTTTCATCTTATTATTGCCTTACACGTTTGAGAATTTAACTCTGCAAAACTAAAGCTTTTTTTGTCTTTTTTTGAAACGTATTATTCGAGTATTGGCAAGTTTTACCATTCAGAGATTTACAAACTAATTTTGAAACTGTAAAAAACAGTTTCATGTATACGCGCATTCACTAATGAGTAATGACAACTTATAAGCCATACATTTTCCGATAACGACAGAACGCTTGTGTAGCCTTTAGTCGCTCTTAGAGACTAATAATTTTTTTTGAGGGGGGGCAAAATGGGGGGGCAAAAAATAATTTTGGGGGGCATTTGCCCCCCCCTTGCCCCCCCTGGCGCCGCCACTGCATGTAGACTATTTACACACAAGCAATCCTGGATGATAGAAACGATACAAGCTGTCCATTAAAAAATAACGGTATTCTATTCCACAAAGCAAAAAATTCAAATCTCAGTTGTATTATTAAGAATATATATAAAGCAGAAAATTAAACCTTGTGTCAAAACGAAAGCTGTCTATAAACTTTACAAATGTTGTATAAACACAGTACTAAACAGTGCTCATTGAAAGACATAAATATATTGTCGTTTGACTTATCTTTGATGTATGACTTTACTGTAATACCGTAGATTTTCAACAGACAGCTAGACTTTGACATATACCATGATCGTTGAGATCTTGCAGGAAATGTTATAGTCTTTTGACGGGATTTTGATAAGGCCTTTATATTTTATAATCAACAATCTGGATACAGTTGGCGTCTTGGCGATATTTCGGAAATCAAAAGATCTTGCTGTTTTGTTCCAATTCCACATCTCATCAATAAATAAATTCTTTTGGTCCGAGTATCAGGATATTCTTTAATACTAACAGTTAAATAAATATAAGCCACATTGGTCGGTGTAGAGATATAAATTTTCTTGTACTTGTAAGCTAATATTGCCACGCCGCCCAGGCGTGCTTTCTTCGGCAAGTCTGTAAGTTGAAATCTGATCCAACTTGCTTGAATTGTAACTCGACACTAGATTATATAGAGCAGAAAGTCACATCAAGTACGATAAATATTATTTTTCATAATTGCAGTTCTCTTCACGATTTTTTGTTGCAAATTTAAATTTCATCACACAAAGTTGCAAATATTGTTACAAACGCGACAAACACGCTCCTCTCCCATCCTACCCATAGTTTATTTAGTTCAGGACCTTTCTGAAAATCACTTTGTGAGAAAGCTTCCTGAAATTAAATATTAATTAAAAAAAAAAAATAGTAGAATTTTAATTCATCACCCAGAATCTGGGTGACACGTGACCAGCCGAAACCAGGGTGTTTCCTTCGCCTCGCACCGTTCTAAGAAAGACCCTGGGAACGAGGTTGTTCGCGTTTCCGCTACCCGTATTTTGAAAGAGCCGCATTGAACCACAGTTGCGCTTTTAAAGTAATAAAATATGGCGGAAATTCCTGTTGTGGATTTTGCTTGCTTCAATTCTTTTGATGGCGCAGACTTCGCCGAATCAAACACAGAAATAACAAAACTTGCGCGAGAAATTCATAATGCATTTACCACTATTGGTTTCGTGTATATCAAGAACCATGGCATACCAGCAGAGGAGGTTCGTATGCTTCAATCAAAATATGTTGCAATTTAATACCAAGACAAGCTTTGAGACTTTGAGAGAGATACAACTACCTGAAAAATAGATAAACTACCTGAGAACTTCGACGTTTCGAGCGAAGGCCTTTTGTCGGGAAGTTAGTAGTCAGAACGAAGGGCCTTCGTTCGAAACGTCGAAGTTCTGCTTCTATTTTGTAGGTAATATATCTCACTATCTCTCAACCGCAGCTGTCTAAATTAGACATCATATCTTGTTTTAATATATCATCATGGAATACCGGGTGTCTCGTATCAAAAAGTATCGGTGTTTGATTTGTTATACTGTTAAAACTGGACAAGGAGTTTCAATCAAATAGACTTCACTGGGAGCGATTGCAGAATATACCCGTCCATTAGGTTTTATTTTGAGAACGAGGCATACAGTTAGTTTAGCATTGATAGATCAAATTGTCATGGTATATAGATAGCTCTATATTTTAGTGGATACGCGGATACGTGGATACGCAGTCGACGAGTTATTTGCGAACGAGGCATACAGTTAGTTTAGCATTTATTTAATAGATCAAATTGTCATGGTATATAGGTAGCTATACGTGGATACGCAGTGAGATACGATCAATTAATAGATCAAATTGTCATGGTATATAGGTAGCTATACGCGGATACGCTTTAGTGGATACGCGGATACGCAGTGAGTTATTAGCGAGTTTACGATGCATGATTTTTTGTGACGGCGACTTCTTTGTTTCGCGACGGCCGCGCAGAATGATTTTAGTTTACGTAGTCGATTCTTTTCACGACGACGTTGCTTCTAACATCAGTGGAATATTTAGAACTCGGTTTTGACCATAGATATAGGAGACCTATAGATTGCTGACTGTAATTGCTCCGTTTATTTTATATTTTTTTTACTCAATATCCACATTTAATCTTATCCACATTTTAATATGTTGATACACGATGGTGATACCTATCTTTGGACCGGTTCCTTGGCCGACTTAAAGTGCTTTGTTGACGAAATTTTAAATCTTAAAGGGAAGTGGAGCTCTCCAGGAGGCGAAGCGAAGCTGTTTTGTGCTACAAAGCCTGACTTTGTTATTAAATGGTTTGGCTGGCGGTCCCAGAAACTTGTGATTCAAGTAGACAGTGCTGAGAACTTTTTAACACAGACGTTTGAGAGCTTGGTGAACAAGAGTAAAGGAAACAAAGCTGATAGCAAGAATGGTACTGATGGAGTGATTGTTAGCGATGGCGACACAGCACATCCTGCTGTACTGGAGGTATGTAAATGTTCCTGCTCTGTTGATCTAGAGGGCTTGAAGCTTGAAATAACAAGACGATGCCAAGACGACGCCAAGACGATGTGATTTGTACTCTTAACGAAGAGAATCAATTCCTTAAAGCAAGGCTGTTGGCTCTTGAAGAGTCGTTTCTCAAGATAACTTATAATGTCAATAAAGATAAAGAACCTGGCTCATCAGTTTACAAAGCTAAAACTATTGACAAAGCGGCCGCTTTTCATGCCAGTGAACAATCTAACAAAAGTAACCTCAGCTCAATTAACACTGAATTACTTAATACCTCTCATGACAATAGTCTTGCTCGGCATAATAACAACGGACAATGCAATGCCGATGATTTGAATAATAATCAAATTGACCTTGCAAATGATGATGCTGTGTTTTCCTCAAAACAGCAGAATAAAAATAATACACACAAAGGCATCAATTCGAACTTGCAATCCGAATCGCAGCAGTCAACCAACATAGAAGGGAATAAACTTAGATATGATCTGTCCCCAAAAACCTCTCATGACAATAGCCGTATTAGTTACGATCCATCTCTAAAAACCTCTCATGACAATAGCCTTATTCGGCATAATGACAACAGCCAATGCAATGCCGACGATTTGAAGAATAATCACATTGACCTTACAAATGATGATGCCGTGCTTTTCCCAAAACAGCAGAATAAAAATAATAAACACAAAGGCTTAAATTCGAACTTGAAATCGGTATCGCAGCAGTCAATTAACAGCGAAAGGGAAAAACCCAAATACAATCCGTCTCTAAAAACCTCTGTTCCGTGCCCTTTTCTCATACGCCGTGGTAGATGTTTTAAAGGCGACCGATGCGACTTTAAACACCCAAAACCATCTGAAACACGGAAGTGCAATATACCATGTCCTTTTCTGCATAAAAGAGGGTACTGTCTGAAGAAAGAGATGTGTGATTTTTCCCACGACAAATTGATACGTAACTCATCCCCCATGCCCTATCCAGGCAATTATGCGTCTCCTGATTTTTTATCACACCGATTCACCAACCCATTTCCGCCGTACCAGAATTATTATTACCGAGAACCTTGGAGAAATCTCCGCCCACTGAATCCTTTAATGGAAATTCCAACCCCTATATGGTCACAATATCCAAATCCCTATTCTCCAGCCATACAGCCCCCAATGAGTTACCCAAATCAGTACCCTTCACCCCTGATGACGAATTACACAAGACCGCCCAGGCGTTGACAGGTGATTACGATTCATCCAAGTTTGTTTGTCCCTTCCTTAACAATGGTACCCATAAGATACCCGATACCGACCTAAATAAGATACCCGTCAGAATTACTCCACGCACAAGACAGCACAGTTATATAAAATCTCTTAGGCATTGCAGCACTTTGAGACCTATACAAGTGAATAAAACTGCCCCGAGTCAACCACGCTTAATTCCATGTTGCTCAGTGTTGAACGCCAGATCTATTGCAAAACCTGATGCTTTTCCTGCTTTGTGCGCAGACATTAAGTGCAATAACATAGATGTTTGTTGTATAACCAAAACATGGCTCAAACCGACTATACCTAGCTCCCTCGTTTGTCCTCCCAATTTTTCCATCATTAGAAAGGATAGAACAAACTGTGGAGGAGGAGGTGTCGCGATCTTATGCAGGAATGATTGGAGAATGCAGCTACTACCTGATTTGGATAATCCATTCGAATGTTTATGGACAAAAGTTATTACACAAAACTCTGAATTCTTTGTTGCAACTATTTACCACCCACCTAACTATGAGTATAATGAGCAAGACCTTATCGAATTCCTTATTGACTCGTGCGAACAACTATTGTTATCTAAACCGAATTCAAA